GATGGATATAGATAATTAATGAAAAGAATAAAAAAAGTGGTTAAATATAAATGAAAAAAATGATGATAATAAAAAAACATCACTTAACGAGTGAGCCGTAACTCATCCACTAACGTGTAATCCCTCTTATACTTTTCCCAACTCTTCCCCAGTTGATTTTTCATCCCATCATCTGATAAAAAATAAATTAGTAATAAATTATGATAAAAGGTTTCTGCTATACCCAAAATAGTCATACCACTTATTAAAGGTCTTTAATTTTCATATATATAACTTTAGCAAGAAACTTTACCAAAATCGGATGTTATCTCAATCGTGATAATCCCAGGTCTTGTATGCGAAAAATTTATTATTAAAGCCATTCACATTTTCTATATTCTGTTTTAAAAAGATCATTTTTTTTTATAATACTTGTTTCAAATTTGTGCGTTTATTGGTAATATTATTTAAACGCGTCCTCGCAGTGTAAAAAAAGACGCACGGTGTAAAAATAAACATGTAGTTGTGTAGGAGATACATGTTCACCAATGATTTCGTAACGAATAAGTTGATTGATAATAACAACAATAAATGATGGATGATGGTTAATGGTCCACAGCCATGATCTCGTGTATCAGCAGCCACTTGAATCAAGAATCAATCACCTGATAAATGTAGATCCCGAGCTGAGACTATTAGGCGCATTTGTTGACGACTTAAAATCGTTGAACTTTTCATTAAAAAAAAAAAAACTTGAAAACTAATCCAAAACATGATTTCTTGCCATTAAAAAAAAAAAAAAAAATGTTCAGAAGATCCGAAAATATGTTTATTGTTAATTTTCACAATTGGTTTAATTAAAATTGTTAAAAAAACTGTTTTTCTTATTCGGTTTGATTCGAATCACTTTAAAATTCGACTCGATTCGATTCACCCGAGGACTTACAGCCAAATATTCAATTCGAATCTGTGGAGATAAAATATTATGTTATCTATTATTTACATGTATTAAAAAAATTTCATTCGTTAACAATAAAAAAAAAATTTCTTAATGTGGGTAAAAATTATTATTATTATATTCTTATTCTGTGCCACCGATTACTCGTCAATTATCCAGAAAAAAATTTCAACACCTGATTAATCAATCGGGTAATAATAATAATCGGCGAATAATCGGCGAATACAACCACGTGTTAATTATTTATGCACGCCAAGCAAAGACTTTGGGCTTTTTTAAATTTTAAAATTAATTTGTGGCTGTGGAAAAAAAAAAGTAAACAGGTTTTCATAGATCACAAGGTTATAAAAAGTCATTTATATGAATGAACTTTGGCGTTAAGCAGAAAACCGCAGAAGTATGTATCAAAAGCAGAAACGTGAAGATTATATCCAAATTGGTCCTGAATATCTTTCTATTTTGTAACAGACACGCATATGACAAGTGTAACATAATTTACATCGTAGGCTAAAAAATTTGCGCGTTTTTTATTTCAGACTTTTCTTAGCGGACTTGGTGTTTAACGGATAAATTTTCGAAATCAAATTTTCCTATAATTATTTTATCCCGATTTAAACTGATTTTTCATGTTAATATTAATATGATCCTTGCTCTTTTTTGCTAGTGATTTTATAATAATAAGATTAAATGGCGCATAATAACACGTTATATTATATACATTCTAATGATAATTATAAAGATAAGTAAATAATTTATAATAATGTGTGAATGTATGATAATAACGTATTTTAATTATAAAGATAAGTAATTAGAAACGTCAAGAAGTTGAAAAGTGAGATTTATTATAAAATTTCTCAAGAACAAATATAAACAAGTATAAAAGATCATTATAATGTTGACATTTTAAGTGAATGAATGCATTTTTTATTTTTTATTTTTATATAATCAACTGTATCAGAACATATTATTATGATTACTTGTATTCGTTCATTATGTTATTTATAACAATAAATAATTGTTCTTTGATATTTCAATTTAGCAGACAAATTTCTTGGAACGAACATATCCATTGAATCAAGATTCACTCACTGTTATTAAAAAAAATTTATCAATATTATTTATTACGTATTTCGTTTTTACAGGTATTTCATTGAATTTGTTCATAATGTCTAATCTGTTGGCTTTATAGAAATAGGCTAGGGTTTCTATTCGAATAAAACGAATAATATAATAATAATAATAATAATAATAATAATAATAATAATCCAATCTAATTTAAATTTTTTTCCTTCGTAGTCCTTGTAATGGTAATAATAATAGTAGTAGCAGAAGTAATTGACATCTTTTCTTTGGCCAATTAATAATAATAGTTGTAGTAATTGTCTTTTCCCCTTGTAGTGATAATAATAATAATAGTGGTATATCTAGTTTTTTTTCCTACTAGCAAATCGAATAATAATTATTTGTTTTGGCTACTTTTGATTAAATAAAAAAAAAAAATAGTGGAATTGCAAAAAAAATAGGCAGAACTGCAGAAATTCATCGTCCTGCTCCTATCTACAAATGAATCCTTTGCTAAATTTGCCAAAGAAAAAATTGCAGATCTGATTAAAATATGGAAACAATTTCAAAAAAAAAAAAAGAGTTTTGACAAGAAATAGTGACGCGACAAGTATTTAATAAGCAATATCACGTGATTTTGTTATTTTTGTTTAAAGGGTAGGCACATCAAACATTCATAGGGATTCTAGAATTCCAACGAAATGGGTATTAAGTTATTTTGTCATGTAAAAGAAGCAGTATATTTTTTACAAATGGCATATAAAACATATACAAACAACAACAAAATATATATATATCACAATCTAATACATACCGATCTATACAAATTTACAAAAATACAAATTAGAATTCCAACGAAATGGGTATTAAGTTATTTTGTCATGTAAAAGAAGCAGTATATTTTTTACAAATGGCATATAAAACATATACAAACAACAACAAAATATATATATATCACAATCTAATACATACCGATCTATACAAATTTACAAAAATACAAATTACTTTTCATTATATTAATTACCATAAGAAACTAATTAACAGTCAGAACCCTGAATCAGTTTTTAATTACATAAATTTAAAATGACAAAACGTCACACTTTAATTGTAAGATCTTTAGGTAAAATAAAGCCACATTCATATTATGGGCTAAATGCAAGAGAATGGAGAGTAGAAGAAGTGAGATACAACTAAATTGATTTACCACCTATTGGAGTCTTTGAAGCATTATAATTAGTAATTTATAATTTGTTATCATAATAATATTGAAGGATAATATAACAGTTGATTTATAATGAGCAGGCATAAGGTTTTGAGTAATGCAATTAGAATTATCATTTTAAATCATCAATTATCTAAAACATATTAAAATTATGTAATAATTAGTAGTGATATTTTTCTTAATTATTCTAGTTTATACCCCTATAAAAAGTTTAGATACTTATTTTCTACTTAATTTTTACAAAACATACTTAAAACATAAGTCAAAACATACTTAAATCAAAAAAGTTGATTCACTAATTATTTGCAAAATATGTATGAATATAATTATTTTATAATTAAAACATTCTTACAGTAACAGGAATGTAGATATCCTAATTATACACTTAAAATGTACCTCTGAATTTTAATAATTCTTAAAACATACTTATTTTCTTGGTTTTGTAATTTACTTTATATATCCTTAAAACATACTTGAATTTGAAATACAAATAATAAAATTATTCTTTTTGCATCCAAAGAATTGACCAATCCAATTTCACTTCTGACTGATAAATGAATGTGTATGACTAAATAACTAATGATTTATTTGATTAATTACACAACAAGGGTATTAGCATCAAACAAGGTGATGAAGACAGGGAGCAAAATCCTATTATAAAATTCCAGGCATTCTGATAAAATTTAGAATGTCCAATAAAAAATTTTGGAATAGGCCATTTTCCAACTACACATTTTTAATATTAATGTTAATACAAATTCTTTATCTGAATTATTCGTTTTAGTTTTATTTGGATTGTCCATTTTATTTGAATTATTCATTTGAATTATTCATTTTATTTGTTTTATTTGTTTATTCGTTTTATTCATTTATTTGTTTTATTAGTTTTATTCATTTATTTGTTTTATTCGACTTCATGTATAGTTAGTTGTGTAGCAATTTTTTCTGATTGCACACCCACCACTTAAACTAATTACGGGTGACGAAACTAAATACGGATGACGAAATTAATTACGGGCGACAAATTAATTACTATTGTGAAAATTTTCTATGCAAACCGTTATTAACGCTATACATGGGATGGCAATTGCATAATTACCGTGAGTACGTAATTATCATAGTTAATTACCATTTTCCTCTTTAAAAACATAATTACGAAATTAATTACCGTATTGCGGGCGACGAAATTAATTATGAATAACAACGAATTAATCATTGGAAATATCATAATACAAGTCACTCCCGTTATAACAACACTCTCCGCACAAACAAAAAATGTCAGTATGACGAGAATGTCATTATAACGGGAGTTCATATAGAAGTCATTATCATGTGATTTTATAATTTTTTTTTTATTTCATTCATGTTTTATCAGGAAATTTAAAACCTACGCCGGATAAAAATTGACCAGCATTATACAGAAGTGTTATCAGAATTTTCCATGATGCCGGTCAATCTTGATCCCGGCGTAAGTTTTATTTCCTTGTGTTTTTTCAGAAATGAGAATGATTTTGATTGGTTCTCCCATTATACTGACGCGTCGTTCTAACAGAATAAATCTAAAAAAAGTTGACAAATTATGTCATTAAACTAGTATAACAAGATAAATAATAGGTGCCATTTAATTTCGTCATTCGTAATTGATTTCGTCACCCGTAATTAATTTCGTAATTAATTTCGTAATTACGTATTACGTATTACGTATTACGTTTTTGGCAAAATAATTACCATCCATGTATAGTTATAAACACAATTTAAAAATGGAGATTTAGACATGACATGCATGTCACTGGCACAGTAAGGAATTCAATTGATCATGTTTTTTTGAATTTCTCTCATTTATGTTATTTACATTTTCTTCTCTTTTAACATCATGTTGTTCACATATTTTTCTATATTTTTTAAATCTTGTATAGAAAAAGACCCAGTTTCACCTAATGAATTGCACATTTGAGTCCAAATCTCAAGTTCACCAAGATTATTATGTAAAAGGGCCATGGAATGCCTTTGCAACAAATAATTTTGTATAATCAATTTTTTTATCAAGAAAACATAACTTGGTATGATTCATAGCTTCATTATGGCAAGTACATGTTTTGGTGATAAGTGATTGACCCTTTGGTTTTTTGATAATGTCTTGGATCATTTTTTGAAGGTTCCTTTTTCTATTTTAGAATAATGAATTAAGTTCTCACCTTGCAACTCTATTTCTGGATTTTTGCTTTTCCAACAAACTTATTCCCAACAATTATCATGCTTGTCACACGAATGTTCAAACAAAATTTCAGTTTGCATGTAAATTATCATCATCAGGAGGTAAAGGTAATGTTTTCTTCTCTTCAATAGATTTTTCATTATAATTATCTTTTTGATTACTTGCTGTATATACACATGCAGTATAATAATCAAAAATGCACTCTTCAAAACTTTCACATTTTTTATACTTGCCATTATGGGGCTGTGTAATAAAAATATGCAAATTTCTAATTTAAGCTTTTATTTTGCCACAAAAATTTCATATTAATATATAGAAGCTCCTGTAACCCCTTGGTGGCTTTCACATTCTCTCCTAACTCTCTTTTTACTCGTGTTCTTGTCTTAAACTCTCAAACTATGTTCATGCCCTTGAAAGACAAAACATTAAATACAATAAACACACAAGGTCACTAACTTAGAAGTTCTTCAAGTAAAACTCTCCCTACATCAAAGCATCAAAAAGGCATGCTAGTTCGTCTCAATCTTCACAAAAAAGCATGTTACACTCTTGCTACCTGAATCAGATGCCAGTACATTCAATGAATTCATTCATATTTATGATTCACATTTAATCACGAGCTGTGACTTTTTTACCTGGAGAACTCATAAGCAAATTTACTTACCCCAAAAAAATAAGAATGAATGGACAAAGGAGGAAATAAACATTAATAAGAAGGTATAAATTTATTTACACTGATATTTTTTATTATATTTCATTAAATGATTAAAATATCCTGGAATCCTTACGATTTGAAGTGAATTGTTCTATCACTCTGTATGGTTAGGCAGGTTTGCAATGGTCAATTGCATGCATTTTCGTCACTTGCAAATACAAACATATCTAAATATGTGTTTGTGGGGCTGTTCTATTGCCTGCAGTATTATATATGTATCAGATGTTAGGCAGTTCTTTTATTTTGCAAATGGTCAATTATGTATGTTTTTTTTTGTCATTTGCAAATTCAAATATGTGTTAAATATATGTGTGGGAACTTTTCTATCATTATGCAGTATTATATACATGCCAGATGGTTAGGCATTTCTTTTTTATTTTGCAATGGTCAATTGTATGCATTCTTGTCATTTGCCATTTATCACACATGGATGATTAATTATTAGGCTTTTTTTTTATGAGTCTGCCATTAATTCATATTAATAAATCTTATAAATTTATTATAAGTTGGAGAAGGATTGCAATGCACCAAAATTTTTTCAACTTCGTCTTGAAAACCCTCATGCATTCATCAATTGGTGTGAACGTGAATACAACGCAACCCTAGAATGGAAGAAACTTGAAAGTAAAATGATTGGAGGGGATACAGAGAGAAAAGAAACATTTAAAAAACACAAGTGTTTGCAGGCAAATACTGTTTTTGGATTTATATATTTTTTCATTTTAACTATTACTTAAATTTTTATATATTTAGACCCAATCATCTTGGTGGATAATTACTCATAATAATAATTCCATAGATGTTGGAAATGAATTTGCTAGGACTATTGTTTGGGATGAGATCAAGATGCTTGAATATGATCATCTGGTATTATCATTTATAATAGATTTCACCCAACCACAAAAGAAATTTCAACACATAATTTCTCAAGTGTTTGACAAAGTAACTTGTATTCCTGAGTCTTATTTTAAGACGCTATCACAAACCTTTGAGAATTTGTTTAATAAATTCTATCTGGATAACAAAAGATGGTGTTGTGATAACTTTGGTTTAATAAACAATGATGATTGATGCCAGCTATTTTATTTTTTTGTCTGAGATATTTGTAAACATTTGTAAGTCTAATCTTTTCATAATTCTTTTTTCTTATATTTCTGTTGATTCACCTTTTTATTTTTAGGTTCTCCTTTGGGGACATAAAATACATAAAAAATACTGCTTAGAGGGTATGTGGGGTTGACTTGTTATAGATCTGATATTAAAATTAATTGCAGACCCCTCAAGAGATCAAGACTTTTGGCAGTGGTATATATATTTTGTTTTGACAGTAATTTGATCAAATGGTTGTTCTTAACATCTATTTACATGAATGACTTATTTTATTTTTCAATCATTAGGGAAGGAGCAGGATTGTTAGCTTCTGAATTTCAAAAAGGAGTTGATCTGAGAAACCAGATTTCTGAGTTCTTTTAGAAGTAGATGATACTATTCAAGAGGTACTCTATGAAGAAAACTCTGGTGGTCCCTTTGTTTATGACTAGGGTTTGTATTCATGGATATCATAAGGGTGTCACACAGGGTCACACACTAGGGATGGGGCAGCTTGGTTTGGTTTGGTTCGGTTTGAAAATTACACAAGATCTTATCGTGTGACGTACGTGATAAATAACATTGCTATAATTAAGGTGTGACGAATAATATAACAAAGAAGCCAAAAAAGCAAAGATTTTCAAATAGTAAATACTAATACCGGATTATATTTATTTACTAATACTAATACTAATATATCAAGAAGGAAATTGACAAAAATTATAATAGAGATATTGAACAAAGAAAAAAACTATAAAATAAAGAAATAATGGACCGGAAATAACCAATTGTCACATAAAATCCAATAAAATTCATTGATCAATTGTTTAATATTAATGAAATAAAAGATCGAAAATCAGACCCTTTTGTCATTGGCTATTACTATATTAATATAGAATCGAAAAGAATTGTAACCTATAATGACTCTTGCCTTTTCACCATTTTGTAGTTTTGTCATTTTCTAATAATATAAAAAGGTCAACTATTTCCTTGTGGTTGAAGCAATATTTTTGATATAATAAATACAAACTTTATAATTGTTGTAACAATCTTGATCTTGATCAATTGGTAAAATAATTCTAGTCGAAATTGGCAATTAATATATACTAATACCATATTTGGTAATGTAGAGAAATTCGTCTTTTTAAATTCACTATTACTAATTTGGCAATCGGGATTATTTGCGTTTTTCTTCAAAGAATTATGAATATTATTGTCCTGATATTTTTTAGGAGTGTTGGTGATGGTGTACAATGATTATTAATTATTATTATTATATTATATTTATTTATGAATGTTATCTTTATGATTAATATTTTCCAGGAAGTCTATAAGCTCCCATACAATATAGAGATTATTTATTTGTATTTTATGAATGTTATCTTTAAGATTAATACTTTCCGGGAAGTCTATAAGCTCACATACAATAGAGATTATAATTTTATTTATTTCTTTCATGATCTATATTTGTATTTTAAGAATTGTAATTTATTATTTAAAGAATCTAAATTCGAATAAAATAATGATAACTTTTAATTTAACAACAATTAAATTACCTGTCCATTAATATTGTTAAAATAATTATAAATCATATTGCTTTTTCTTTCAAAATTAATAATTATATAATATACTTAGGTTACCTTTTTTTTTTTGAAATGGATGAACAAACTTTTAATAATCAAGAAATTAATGACTACTACCACCAAGAAAATTTTAATAGGATGAATCTTGATTATTTTACTAGTCAAGTTTTTGGTGATGCACAATCGGAAATAACAGACTCCAGTATCTCTGTTACCTCATCAATGTCATCATCAACATCAAATCCTTTATGGCAACATTTCAATAGGAATCCATCTGATGCACGAGGCTATAATGTTTGTAAAAATTGTTCAATTAAGTATAAATTAACAACAGGTACTACAACACTTCGTAAACATCTCAAAGACCAACATCAAATAGACATACCTGTTAGGAGTGTTAAAAAACAAAGAACAATTACTGAAATCGAACCTTTTGATGAACAAAAACAAATGGAACATACTAAATATCTTGTTCAGTGGTTAATTTGTGATCTTCAGCCTTTTACCACTGTTGACAACACTTATTTTAGAGCATTTGTTAGTCACTTCTGTCCTCGTTATACTATGCCTGAGTGACACCAAGTAAAGGATCTTATAATTGGTGGATTCAATAGTCGAAGAACAAAAATTGCTAATGAGCTTCATCAAATTGAGGGTCAATATTCATTGACGGCTGACATGTGGACTTCCATGAATAGAGATGCCTTTTTAGGAATAACAATACATTATATAGATTCAAATTGGAAACTCAGCAACTTTCTCCTCGATATCATCCCTTTTACCACTAGACATACTGGTGAAAATATTGCTGGAGAAATTAAACGTGTTTTAGATGAACTTAACATTTCTGGTAAAATCATTGCACTAACAACAGATAATGAATCTGCAATGATTGTATGTGGAAGAAGACTTGCCGAATCCCTTGATAGTCAACTTTCTTCAATGACATTCTCACATTATAGTTGTGCAGCACATGTTCTAAACTTGAGTGCAAAGCAAGGATTAGAGCTAGTTAATAATTCAATTAATAAAGTACGTGAATTAATGGGAAAAATTAAAACTTCAACTCTCCTCAGTGATCAACTTCACAGTTTTTGTAATTTAAAAGAGATCTATAACTATAAACCTGTTTTGGATGTGGAGACCTGTTGGAACTCTACATACTATATGTTAAAACATTTGGAGCAACTTGAACCAGCACTGGTTTTACTTGCTGTAGATAATAACAACATCAAAAATCTTTATCCTAATGAAAATGATTGGATTATAATTGAATGACTTATTTTATTTTTCAATCATTAGGGAAGGAGCAGGATTGTTAGCTTCTGAATTTCAAAAAGGAGTTGATCTGAGAAACCAGATTTCTGAGTTCTTTTAGAAGTAGATGATACTATTCAAGAGGTACTCTATGAAGAAAACTCTGGTGGTCCCTTTGTTTATGACTAGGGTTTGTATTCATGGATATCATAAGGGTGTCACACAGGGTCACATGAATGACTTATTTTATTTTTCAATCATTAGGGAAGGAGCAGGATTGTTAGCTTCTGAATTTCAAAAAGGAGTTGATCTGAGAAACCAGATTTCTGAGTTCTTTTAGAAGTAGATGATACTATTCAAGAGGTACTCTATGAAGAAAACTCTGGTGGTCCCTTTGTTTATGACTAGGGTTTGTATTCATGGATATCATAAGGGTGTCACACAGGGTCACACACTAGGGATGGGGCAGCTTGGTTTGGTTTGGTTCGGTTTGAAAATTACACAAGATCTTATCGTGTGACGTACGTGATAAATAACATTGCTATAATTAAGGTGTGACGAATAATATAACAAAGAAGCCAAAAAAGCAAAGATTTTCAAATAGTAAATACTAATACCGGATTATATTTATTTACTAATACTAATACTAATATATCAAGAAGGAAATTGACAAAAATTATAATAGAGATATTGAACAAAGAAAAAAACTATAAAATAAAGAAATAATGGACCGGAAATAACCAATTGTCACATAAAATCCAATAAAATTCATTGATCAATTGTTTAATATTAATGAAATAAAAGATCGAAAATCAGACCCTTTTGTCATTGGCTATTACTATATTAATATAGAATCGAAAAGAATTGTAACCTATAATGACTCTTGCCTTTTCACCATTTTGTAGTTTTGTCATTTTTCTAATAATATAAAAAGGTCAACTATTTCCTTGTGGTTGAAGCAATATTTTTGATATAATAAATACAAACTTTATAATTGTTGCAACAATCTTGATCTTGATCAATTGGTAAAATAATTCTAGTCGAAATTGGCAATTAATATATACTAATACCATATTTGGTAATGTAGAGAAATTCATCTTTTTAAATTCACTATTACTAATTTGGCAATCGGGATTATTTGCGTTTTTCTTTGAAGAATTATGAATATTATTGTCCTTAAATTATTGATATTTTTTAGGAGTGTTGGCGATGGTGTACAATGATTATTGATTACAGTCATACCTCTTTTATATCTCCCCTTGTTTATATCCCATCCTTGATTAAATCCCACTGATGGGCCATGACGGA